TGGCAAACTGCTGCCCGATGCAGTTCCTGGGGTAAAACAGAGCAGCTCAGCCACCCAGTCTCAGTGCTGGGCACAGATAATCCCCAGTGGATGGATCACAGCCCTCTCACATCAGCACACAACCCTTCCCCTCTGCAGCTCTGGGGGCCCCAGGCAGCATTTCGGGTGGCAAAAGCAGGGGCATGGGCTGAGCAGGGGAAATCCGGGGCAGCATCGGGGGAGAGGAGCTCCTGGATGTGTGTTCAATGAGCACAGAGAGGGAGGGGAAATGGGGAAGCCAAAGGGGAGGCCAGCAGAGCAGAGGTGGCAGGTCTCCAAGCATGAGGGTTTGCAACGTGTTTGCCTTGTTGGGGTGAGCACAGGGTGAAGGGAAGGATTGGGGGGAGTGGACAAGGGGGAAATCAAAGGATGAGGGGGTGGGATGGGGTCTCTGCATCAAGGAGAGGAGAGCAGGTGAGCCCAGGTTGCTGCAGGCTCCCCGCATGATGCCAGCAGGATACTCAGCAGCTTTGGGACCCCATTCCCTGTCCCCAAGAGGAGCCCGGTGATGTTTCCTTCATGTTTCGCCTGCTGGTATCAGAACCCCTCTGCGGCACAAATGCTTGTTATATGCTCGTGAACTATTTAACGCTGCAGGGCCAGGACTTCAGGTGACAGTCTCTGAAAGCATTCTGAGAGTGCTTCCCCGATAGCAATTATAACAGCAGCACACGCTTCTTGGGCTGAGCAGTTTCCAGGGATGGATGTTTTCTCTCCCCACTACTCCTTCAGCATTCAATACACTTTACCTTGTTCCAGCAGAAAAAGGCAGAAAGGCGTGAGAGTGTCTGCCAGAAATGTTCTCCGGGGAAAAACGCAAAGGGTCAAAGACCTGGAAATGAAGAATATGCAGCAAGAAAAAGCAATTATTTAAGGAACAGAGTACTGACCGGTATCTTCAGAAACGCGACACCCCATAATTTCTGAACACCCCATGGGAGAGAGAATTCATTTTGAGATGGACTGCAACTCATACACCAGACACCCTTGCCTTCCACTGAGCCTTGCAATGGTGTTGCCAAGACAAACCAGACATAGATATGATGAAAACTGGGGAGCCGGGACTCAATTCTCCACCTGTAGGCTGAGCAAAAAATCATCTTTTTGCCTGTTAATACAACACATTCTTTGGAGCACTTTGTCTTACTGTTTGGGCAGCACCCAGCCCTAACACTGCTGTCTGACCGCCCTGTGCCACAGCTGGCTGAGACTAACACAAGGCGGTCATGTCTCACCGTGATTCCCATGGCCAAAGATGCTCAGCAGCAAGGGGGGGCTCTGCTCTCCTGCTAACAGGTGAAGAGGGCATTTGAAGAGGCACAGCATAAAGGGGAAAAATTATTAGAAGGGCAAAAGAAAACTTACCAAAGGGTCTTTCCATACCGCAGGGTTTCTGTGAATGAGATAAACGCTTATCGCAGCGATGCTGCCTGTAAAGCAATTGAGGAGGAGAAAAGGGCTCAGTGACAAAGAAACTAAAGGAGAAGTTGCAGCTCGCTCACACGAAGGTCTGTCTAAATCATCACGGTCTTATCTGTCAACTGGAAACCAATGAGGGTTTTGTCATTGGCTTCAGAGCAAACAAAACATTTTCCATTTGTTTAGTTGTAAGCAGCCAAACAGTGGAAATGAGGAAGGTGCAGGCACCACAGGCACATTGTCCCCCCACTGACACTGCCCGCTTGTGTGCTAAATCAGAGAAGGAAAGCAGGGGCAATTCCCGCTCTGCAAGTCAGGATGGGACCAGTCCCCATCCCCCTGCACCTGCAGTTTGCCAAAATGGGTGAACCATGGGCTCATGCTTGGCCAGGAAGAGAAGGGGCTTTGAGCACAGGCACATCTGCCCTATAGCAGTGGTGGCAGGAAGGATGTCACGGGGATGCCGCTGTACAGCCCAGACCTCAGTCTATCAACGGGATGCCAACATCTGCACAGTCCTATCTGAACGCCTGTGCCGACGAGGACAAGGTCACAGAGGCAGGGCTGTTGCCTTTGCTCTGTGGCAGGCAGTGAGATGTCCAAGAGCACAATTTTGTGAAGGGGAATGGGATTTACAGACCTTCTGGCAAGGTGCGTCCATCAGGGAAGGTGATGGGTTTGTTGAGCTGCCGGGACACGCCGGGCACCGGTGGGTAAAGGCGAAGGCTCTCCCTGATGCACATGGTGCTGTAAGTCATCTTACCCAGGTCCTCCCTACCGGGACAAAGGCAGGCTGAGCCACACACTCCCTCTGCTGCCCTGTGCCAGGAGGCCCCTTGCCCCACAGCCATCAGCCCCCTGGGCAGACCCCCTTGCAACAGATGGGGTGTACGGAGGGACCCACAACATCCAACCACGGGCTGCTGCAAGCTGGGGACCCCAAGACACCTCTGAACAACCTTAACAACCTCTGAACAAGCTCAAGTGCAAAGTGACAGTGAAAGGCGAAAAGCCGCAACTACAATGTCCTGTGGCAAGAAAACAGGAAAGAGCAACGGGCAATGTTGGTGGCCCAGGTCTTGGCACGGCATCCAGCATGTCCTCCTGGTCTGGGATGGTTTTTTCTCATGTCCGCCCTGGTAATAGGAGCCCTGAAGCCCTGAAGGGCAGGGAGGCAGATTTAGTTGAAGGATGCAGTATCTGCTCCATCCTATGAAGTCCCCATGCACGCAGCAACCTTACAAATCAGTCCTTTAGCACTCCAGCTTTCAAGCCTTGAAAACATTGCTCTCTTAGAAATACCGGTGATGGGGAAAAAAAGTTACCAGCTGAGGAAACGTGCAACCTTACCACTGAAGCTTCTCCCGGTCCCCCAGGATCCCTCGGATCTCCTCCCGGCACCGTGCCTGGTGCTCGGGGTGAGATGCCAGGCAGTACAATAGCCAGGAGATCCCGCTGGCCGTCGTATCGTGGCCTTCAAACATGAACGTGTC